TGTATGTATTTTTATTATTACATATAAATAAACGTAGTAAGAAAGTATATATTTTTTATTTTGGGGGTCTCTAGAACGAATTAATTAAATTCCCATAGAAACCTATGGTAAATCGATAATCGGTTAACGAACAATTCGGATAGCAAACAAAGTCTTGGAACGAATTATGTTCGTTAACCGATCACCCACTGTATATTGGTGTTGTGTTAATTCATTTTTGTATTATCATTGGCTGTTCGCTGTTGATGAATGGGATAAGGCAATGCAATATGTGATGTTTCTAGGGATTTTTAGATTCAAACCCCACTCCCGTGACACCAATTTGTGAGCCGCCGGGGAGGTCGGCAAGTCCTCTCCTTCCGGCTACAGGTCGGTGATCTACTTTCTTGTCAAGGATGGCGTTTCGTTCAGTTACGCGTTACGCGAGTGGAAGAGAGTCGGAAGGGTCGACGATAAGACGTTGGCTAAGTCGAGTAACGACACCATTTAAAACAAAACAACAGTTTATTTAAAGCGCTAACTAATTAAAAATTTACAAAACTCCTTAGACTTCGCGGATGAGAGAGAGAGTTTACAATAATATTTCATACCTCTGGGATAATTTCGGCTTTAATTTCTGAAAGGCGGTGCGAGGTGGGGCCAAAGTCTTCCAATTGATGTCGTATAGTAGGACTAAGGAAAGTTAGTGTCCGTCTTGGTCGTTCGATTGGAAACTCCCCCAAGAGGGGAAGGAGGATGGCTTTTATACATTTTGTGGTGGGAAAATTGTCAGGTGACCAATTGTTTTAGCAGGTGTGGGGTTAATTAAAGTTGGTGTTAGAATGACAACAATATGACGAACTGTAAACTATACACGGTTTGATCGTGAGAATGTTTATAGTTAAATAGAAAGAGTTATAAATTTCTCATACGCTTTATATTACAGCTCTGTAGGGTCAAATTCCTTTGGTTAAAGGAATTTTTTTATTTAAATTCATTAAAAATTTGAAGGATTACTTTCTTTTATGAAATTATATGAACTTCGAATTTCACAAATACGAAGGCGACTTAGCAAAGGGATGCTTCTTGGAATAATTTTTTTTATACGAAACTCCTGTGAAAAAAAAATGGGCAATTGTCTGGGTTTCCCACCAACAGGGACCCCAAATCGATTATTTATAAAAGAAAAATCTTTCACTCAGAAAACTTTCACGAAATAAAAAATGTCTGAAGTCAACACTGTACATCGAGCACTTTATAATAGCCTGGGCTTCACGAAGCTATAACTTATCACTGATGAAACTCATCCTTGGATTTTAGACACGCTAAAGAATATCCGAAAATCTTTAACTAATCAGCCCGTCGATGGAGCTCAAACCTAAAACTAACTGCCAGTGACATTTGTGGTATACTCAAGTATCTACTTTAACACAGAAATCGGATCTCACAGATCTTGTGCCAATTAAGTGATAGAGAGTTCAATTCAAGATCATGTACCCCCCTTACTCGCCTAAACTCTCCGTAGCGTGGCGCTGGACGACGAAAAGTATATATATAATTATAATAAAGTTACAATAAATTAAGTTAATATATAATTATATATACAGTACCTAATTTATATATAGTACTGTACAGACGATAGTAAACTCAA